TCCCCCCCCCCCCGGCCAGGGTTAACACCAGGGGTCCCGCTCCGCTCGCCCGCGGCAGAGGCTGTCGCTGCGCTGCCAGGCGCTGTCGATGAGGCTCTGAGCGTCTTCGCATTTCTTCTTGATGGCGGCATCCAGAATGGCCTTGTGCAGGAGGTCGACCTGAAACACACGTGTGGGGCAGTCAGGAGGGGGAACGAACGACAGCCACTTCTCCTCCTTGTTGTAAAACCACCTCAAAAACAGACAGGAAAGTCGCCTGTGTCATAAATACAGGTGACGGAGGGGCACGGGGCTGAGCCAGGTTCCTCCCCCACTCCCCTTGCCAGCCCTGGATGCTCATGGCCCTCCTTGCCAGGGCACTCAAGCTCTGAATCCCACATCCCACAGTTATATGGACATGGAGGGGCTCCGTGGCTTTCCTGCCCTTCGTGGGAAAGCTGGGTTCACCCTGCAGGGAAAAAATCACCCACTCCTTCCTCGGAGGGCGCTGGCCCCGTTCACCCTTCCTTGCCGGAGGAAGGGTGTGACACAGCCTTGCACGCTCACCTGGTAGATGTTCCTCCACGTGGCGTTCAGCGCCGAGAGAAACCTCTCCAGTTCTGTAGTGCAACTAAAATAGAGGACCCAGGGGGGCAGGAACTGCTTGCGGTCCTGAGCAAACTCCTAAACATCAAGAGAGAGGCCGGGCGTTACCACCGCGGTCCTTGCCCAGCCCTGGGCTGTCCGGCCCCGAAGCACCATGCTCACCAAGATACAGTACTCCTTGCCAGCCTCTGTGGAGATGGCAGTGATGTCCGTCAGCTCCACGGTGCCCAGCGAGCGGAAGAAGCTCGTCTGGCAGTCCTCGTGGCAGGTGAAAGCCTTCTCGTCCGTCAGCACAAGGCAGCAGGGGACGCAAGGCGTAGGGGCAACACCTTGGGGGATCACCTGCACGGGGTGGGGAAAGGGGGGGGTTAAAGTCTGGCATGAAGGAGCCCCATCTCCACAGGGTGCCTCGTGGGGAAGCCCTCCCAGCTCGGGAGAAAACTGCCTGCTTCACCCCTGCCAGACATCCCCGCTCCCGTCGGCAGCTCCGTGCCGGCTGGGCTGTGCCCCAAAGGGGCTCCGGGCGAAAAAGGGGGGTCGATGCACCCACGCTTGGGGGCCTGTCCCCGGCTCACCCCTTTGGAGACAGCCTGGCAGAAGTACTGCATCCAGTCCGCCATATCTTCCTCGTTCTCGGCACTCAGCTCCAGGGAGGGCCGGTCCGTCAGGATCACCTGGAAGGAGTGGGGCCGGTCGGTGGTGTTGGAGCGCCGGCATCCCCCACACTGCTCGCCACTGGGAGAGAGGGGGGAGGGATGGAGGTCAGCAGGACGGACTGGCCAGCGCTAGCCTGAAAACAGCCTCCGTCTGCCCTCCCTGCGCGGCACGTCACCCCTTTCCCCCACAAGCATTCGTTTCCCATTTGTGACATCCCCTGCGGTTGCTCCAGGGATGCCCTCTGTCTCTGCACATCGTGGTGGAGCTGGAGTTGAGCACGGTGGGTTTGTGGAGGTCGCCCAGCGTGGCTCTTGGAGGGGCATGCCAGCCCTTCAGAGGCCAATTCCCCGTCAAAGGGTGGGCTTGGCATGCAAAACCCAGGAGGAAACGAGCCCATCTCCAGCTACACGCACCGGAGCCAAAGCAAATGGGCATCTGTACTCAGCCAGGAGCAAGCAGGGAGTCCTGTGGCACAGACTAGATCATGATTTGCCCAGAAACACCTCCCTGAACATCCCAAGGAGCTCCTGATCCCCAGATCCCCGCCAAATCTGGGCGCTACATCCTACCAGCTGCTTACCCCATGTTGATGGAGAGCAGAGGGGTGACGTCCGTGCGGTCCGGATACTGGTACAAGATCCCGTTGCTGCCGTTTGGGAAGATGAGAGAGGTGGTAACTGGAGTCAGCTCGGCCCCGGCAACTGCACAAACAACCTCTGCCTTCGGTCCCACAGCCACTCTGCCCTGCTCTCCACCCATGCAGTCCTGTGGGGTTGCGTTCCTGCTGCTGGGCAGCCACAACTGGTGGCTTTAGCCCCCCAGGTGACAAGATGGGTCCTCTCCATCTCCCAAGCAGCTCCTGGGCAGCAATCTGGTCCCAGCGCCTTCTCTGACGAGCCCTGGCTGACCCCAGTCCCGACCCACAGCCCCGGTGCCCACCTGAGCACCACGAAGCAGGTCTTCCACTGCTCTTTGCCCAGGTAGGAGGTCCCCGCCTTGTAGTGCAGGATGCCGTCCTTGGTGACCGCGTTTTCGGCGGAGGTGTAGCTATTGTTGGCAGGTCCCAACGCCTCGTCCATGGGGTCTTCCCAGTGAACGAGGCCGTAGAAACGCACAACCACGTCGCAGGCCTGTGAGAATCAGGCGGGGAAGTCAACAGGAGGGAGTCTCCCTGAGCCTCCGCCACATGTAGTGATGGCTGCGATATCCAAACTCACCTCGCACTTGGACTCCTGGGCCACGAACTTTGCGAGTGCCAGTTTCTCCATGGTGGCATCCGTGAGGATACTGGGGTATGGGGGCTCCCGGCACCCTTTGATCATGGCTGACTTCAAGGAGACCAGGAAGAACCTGAGAGACAGAGATCTCTGATGAGGCCAGGGCAAACAGCCCCTCATCTCCCTCACGCGCTCTCATGCCGAAGGGGCTTCCCTTCAACGTGGGCCTCTGGTCTTCCAGCCCAAAGGGTCTCAAAATCAACCTCACAGACCAAAGGCGACGGGGATTGCAAAGTCTGAGCTCGAGGAAAGAGACGGGTGAGACTGGGAGATGGACACCCATCCCAACACAGATCCCAGTATGACCATCCAGGCCCTGAAGAGGTCACCTCCCTGAGCTGACAACACGCAGAGAGACCCGGGGACGTGCCCTGAAACTCAAGACCTCGTCCCTACTCATCCCAAGTGACACAAAGGGGACACAGTCTCCATCGCCCAGTGCCTGCAGGGTTTAGCCGGTGGCATCAAACCAAACCCCAAACCCCCTCTGGTTGCAGGACTTTGTCGTGAAGGGCTGTCACTGGAGTCTCTTGCATTCCCCAAGTCACGCCGGGAGTCCAAGGTGCTGGCCAGAGGTCCTGCACCCCGGGAGGAAAGTGCCACGGTTCTGCCACCCGGTCCCTGCTTACTCGGTGAGAGCCACGTCTGCGGTGTCGAGCAGGAACTGCTTCCTCCGATTGGTGCACACCAGAGTCACCGTCTGCTGATCCAGCCCAACCTGTGCCACATATGACCGGTTAGGGAAGCCAGGTGGGGGACGAGGGGTGGTGAAGCAGGGCTGAACCTGGCTTCTGGCCCCGGGGGAGAAGGTCAGTGGTCACTCTGCTGCCCATGCAAAGATACGAGCAAGCTGGGCACCCGCAGAGGTGGCATTTGAGGGGGGATCACTTCTAACTCTCCCAGTCTCAAAAGATTCACTGGCCAAAATGCTCCCCATGGACAGAGCGCCTCACAGAAACACCCCACCGTGACGCTCCTGACACCCCTGCGGACGGAGAGGTGAGGACCGACCCCCCCACTCCCGCTCCCTCCAAGAGGGCTGACCCGACCCAGGCTGCACTCACCGAAATGTAGTCCAGCTCATTATAGGAAACGGCCTCCTCCACCATGTACGGCTTCTCCGCTGCCCCTGGCACAGACACAAAAGAGCCATGTGAAGAGGGGCAAAGGACCCCAAGCGCTGCCCGGATCCGGGCCGCTGCGCAGCAGCAGTGATGGACCTGCAAACCAAGCCGTGTC